TCGGGCAACGGTAGCTAACATAAACGTACACCTGGGATGGTGTATGCCCGATCTGGGAAATGTTTCACGTAAACGGGCTTCAATCCTTTTGTTCGTTATGAATCAGAATTTGGTTAGTTTTGCTTCGCTAAATAAATTTCATCAAGATAGAACGATGCAATCAGTCTTCAATTCCGTATCTGCAGTCAATCAAGCAGATTAACGGCTCTGTTTTGTAGTGCAAACGAAAACAGTTTAGACCATTTCAGAAGCAATGGTTTGTCCCTGTGGTACTCGTGAAATCGACATCGATACTAACTGAATATTAGTATATTTTCATTTTAAAAAGAAATTCGCAGCAAAATTTAGGCATCATTACTGGGTCGCATATGTATCCGCGGAGCAACTTACGTCGACGACATATAAAGACAAATGCCAGCTAGCATTCAGTGCAATAGCCCCTGCAATCGGTGAGTGAATTACTACTATAGGTAACGTACGGCACAACTNATTCCTTATGCGATGAGCAAAAGACAACTCGTGGGGGAACAATTCGGGATGTAATTCAAGCAGTCTCGTGATGCTATATTTTGTGCGCACAGTCATTTCGGGAAACGTTTATCTCAAATTTCGAAAATTGTGAACAACGGAGACCTACTGATGTTAACCAATGAACGTGCAGTAAAAATCTAAATAACCCTCTTTAATCGTATTGTTTCTCCCCAAGGTCTTTAAGTGGGCGTAATATCTAACTGGGCACCTTAGTGGGTTACACTACAAGTCTTTATTTTGGTATACTTACATTGTACTTATCAGGGCTTTTACCAGATTTCCGAATACTTCATTGTGCCGGGACAAGCAATCAACTCAGAATAGTCTAACCTGGTGAAAAATTCGGAATCGAAACGAAGTCAGATATTTGAAATCGATCTTTTCAACCAGTTGTCATCTATACGCAGTTTCATGTTTATTCTCTATACCAGTTTTCGGCTAACTTTTCGTGAAATGGATGAACCCATGCAAACTTTCATTTCTGATTCACTGTAATAGCGAGAATTCATCATGCAAACACTTCCTGAGTTATCCTAAAGCCTTTTCCCCACTCGGAACAGTTGAGTTCAATTGGTTATTCCCATTTTTATAATTGTTCAAATTCCATCAAGCTTTCATCATCTATCGAAATACGCTTTTTATAAGGATTGTGTTGAATGCTAAAAAGTGCATGAAACTGAAGCTTTTAACAGATATTTGAAATTGCACCTAATTCCTTCGCATCTATTGGATGAAGAATCATATCTTATGAAGAAAATATTGCATTTTAGGTTACAAAATTAGGTATTGCAACAGATACGACGCACCTTTATCAAATCTATACAACCTATAACCATAACAGTGTACCAGTGCCCGTGTTCANTTGATTGTCAAGTCAACGTTTGATCAGTCTGAAGTCCAAAAAGTTTATTCGTTTCTTCTAACTTCATTCAGGAGTATACATCTCACCCACTGTGAATATTTTTTCACGAATCTCATTCCGCCTACATGAATAAAGTTTTGTCGCACGCGAAGCATTTTAAATTCTGTGTGGGAATGTTTGTGATGAAAACACGTTAAAATAGGGAGATGCAGCAGGAATAATTTGTTGACTTACTTCGCAGTGCGTCACATTCTTTTAGCCAGTGGTGGGCATTCTATAGACTGTCAGATTACGTCTGACGGTTATTAGCCGCGTTTCTTCTATTTCTGTGAACAAGTTATTTGTGTAACTTTCAGATCCTGAACACTCATTGAATGAAGAACTGACACATTTTTGTTCCTATCCCTCCACTCAGTCTCACGTCGGGTAAATGAACGCTTAGCGAAATTCACCCACCTTGCCAACGGAGAGAATGTGACAAGTAAACTTTGTCTTAACCTTGTACTGTTAAACATCCCAATGCTGTCTGGAAACTTCTCCCTCAGTTGAAAATGTTTTCTGTGACGGTTGGCCTCTATAGTTTCAAAATTAAATGTACGCTTCACGGCTCGCAAAATTCGCCCACAGTATAATGTAATACAATAGCTTAGAGTTGGACCTTGCTGAAAGATTTGATAGCAATAATGATCATAATGATGATTCGGATGATGATGATTTTAGTAATAAACTTTGAGTGTATCAATATTAGGAGGAGGTACAAAACATTACTCCTACTCTAAGACATATCTAATTGGAACATTAATAAATGGTTCGTGTCTTACTGTACCAAAATGAATAGTGATGTTTGATCAAACCTTGTGCAACCTCAATGAACTGTGTATTATTAGAGCAATCCTTGAAAGAAGATCTACCAAGGCCGTGCCCCATGTTTTAGTGAGAACATAAGTGCCATTTTCTTTATAAACGAAAGACGTCTGCTGAATTTGCCTATTGCTCTAATGCGTAGATGACCAGTTAGCTTCAGTACCTCAGTTTAATTTGACTATTGCATCGTTATGGCTACGTTTTTTAACCAAAAATAAATGGATATACGAAAATTATTTAAATGCAATGGAAATGTTTCTGAAAGTGGACAAAGCACACTGGGTAGTTGTTTCGTCCTGTTTCAGACTAGTCAGCAGTACGTACTTTTTGTGTCCCCGTCATGACTCGAATCGCGATCCTTCGGGTTGGGACTTCAAACCGTTATCCTTGAGCTACAAAGTCAACCGTTCACTGTGTAAATACAAAAATCAGTGCCGGTTAAATATATTTTTACTTGAGCGTAACAGACCAAAACGAACTGTAATGTAGTTTCACAAACAAACTACAGTTTCTGGAGTGTGGGTGGTCTTAGTTATTTAGAAAACCTTGTGGATAGTACAATAATGTTGAACAGACATCGTGTAATGTTCAAGGTTTTCTTCACCGCATTCACAAAGAATGTGATCCCGATGGTACAAGCTTACAGTTATCCATCTGGCGGACGAAAACGCAGTATCCATCTGTAGTGAGCATATCTATGTGTTCCTAGCGCTCATTCAGCATCCAGGTACTTTGGATGCACCAAAGTTTCGTCTGAATGAACCCTACCTGTTGCTCCTTCGCATTAAATGTTCTGACAAGTACACAGGACTCGGTTCGAATTCATTAGTGCATATCGGGTTCCATAATTTGTCAGACAATGCATTTCCTTTTCAAAACATTTCATCTGAGCTACCATAGAATCGATTACGTCATACTGAAATAATCCATCATGTTTTTGAAAGAAGTGGTTTACTGGACATCAAAATGATTTGGGCATCTGTTCGGAATTTTGGGACTAGTTAGCACAACGGGCAACGGTCAGCTAATGACACTGAGTGATTCATTTCTTCACTGCACTCGTTAAATTGTAAATTTTATTCAATGGTTTAAACTTGGCATCAAACATTATTTATCTATCTGGTGGAAACAGTCAATGAATTGCACATACAGACCCAACGGAATCATCCATCCCAATTGCGAAATTCTATAAGACAAAAGAACTGGTACGAGCGCTTCTAACTTCATCAAAGTGGATCTAGAGAACTCACCACTTTCTGCACATTTTTTCTGATTTGTTTCCACCATTATATAAGCAACAGCTTTAACCACTGGATCCCAGTTGCTCTCCTAGCCATGAGCTTCTCATCAATCCGTGTAGTGGTCAAAGCGAATTAGGGACCACTTGACTGGCTGATGCCATATCACTTCCCACAGTGGTTCTCGCTTCGATCACCATCGTGTAGATTCCAGACTACTTCAGGATGCCACAGTTCTTTTATTTGTCACATTCGGAACATATCCGATTTTTCATGCGCTTTCCAGACAAATTTTTGGTTTATTTATCCTTTATCTTCTTTCCTGTCAGTTGTGAATTGGTTATCCTCCTCTACTTTATCCAGTGCTCTTTTTCAATGCAGCAGTATCCTATCTTCAAAACTGAACGCCAGACAAATTTAGATGCGTTGAGTCCTGGAATGATGATGATTGATGAGTTGCTATAGTTCATAATGCGAACTGATTGGGCGTTATTTTCTTTCATTGTAATGCATGGTTTTCTCAGGCCGACTAGACATTTTATTAAGAAATGCAACTAATGCGTTTCATTATTCCAAGAATAGCATTTCTGCATTTTCATCGATTTGTCTTCATTTGCTTTACTCTCCCTTTTCAACACTACTTTGGAACAAAAGGTAAGGCATAGCTCAGAAACTCGCTATATTTAGTTAGGTTAAGCAACCGTTTTCCTACATCTGTAGGGCAAGTCATTGCGAATCATGTAGACGCACACATCCACCGAAAAAATCCTCTTACCTACTTGTTGTACTATACCTCGTCGGGATCATATTGAGAATTGGGACATTTTTCTTAGGATTCCTACAACCAGTCCCGGTATTTTAGTAACGGTGCATCCTAAGTTGTGTTGGGTATGCTGTAGACGAAACTGTAAAGAACAAATACCGTACTTTTTTTCGCCACAGGATTATGAAACATTTGGACTAACCACTCTTGGTGGTTTTTACTTTACGTGTGCCCCCCCCCCACTCCACCACCCTCAACTCGCCCGATAATTGATCCAATTGGCGTTGCTCATCAGCCCTCGGATCCCATTCGTATATAAACTATTCATAAATCTCGACGCCACTGACTCCCAATTCCATTCTGTTCATTTTGGTAGGGGTGAACAGAACAATATCACGGGTTCTGTACCTGATGCATACGTTTGTGAATCGCCGACGAAGATGCTTTATCGAGTATAAAATAAATTGGACTACTTAGTGAGTCTTTCCCCAATATGACTGGAATCCATTTCATTTAATGTAAAATTACCAAATCGATTTTCAACGGATTTCATTTTTGTTGGTTCTATGAGTGAGATCATCGTATACATACAAAATCCTACGGAACATGAACGGAAACCCCTGGGGTTGTTTATAATTGGTACTGCATGGTTATGTGAAATCATCAAATGTGCGACATTGCGCTCACCGAATCATTCAAAAATCTATGCTCAAATAAAACAAAAAATCATTAAAATGATTCAATGGTCATCGGTGATTTACTCGTTTTTATGCATACCATTCAACAAAACGTACGGACTGGCGCCAGATTAGCATCCAGATGACGACCCTGATCAAATGGATAAAATTCCTGATTAAGATAATTATGATGATGATGATGATGATGATGACGATGATGACGATGATCATGATGATGATGACGATGATGATGATGATAATGATGATGATGACGTTGATCATGATGATGACGATGATGATGATGACGATGATGATGATGATGATGATGATGATAATGATGATGGTGATGATGGTGATGATGATGATGATCAAAATGTAACTATCGTCCACATCGTAGTCGTTCTTTCCATGCTGCAACGCTAAGTACTCAGTTTAGAAACCGACGAATGGATCCTGTAAGTCATAAAGAAACATTGCCTAACCTCTCCTATTTTTCATCATTTGCCACTTTCATTGCTCACGTATAGCAAATTATGTAAGAAGAATGATCAGGTAATTGTCGTAAAGCATTAGGGAGCACAAGGCTGCCTGATTGAGGCCACTGTGACGTTTGGCATAACCCAGGTCCCCGGTCATAGATGAAACAGCTCACTCTAGCCATCAACTGTGAATATTTCCAAACCACAAAAAAAGCAAAGAATATTCTGCATTTTCATTATTAATTATTCATTATCACTAGATCACAATCAATCAATTATATTCCTCATATCAGATCATCTTACTTGTTTGACAATTCTGAATTCTAAATTTAAAACTGTATTAGCCCGATGAAGAAATTATCAAAAACAAGTTTTGTTCTCTACAACGTTTTCTACATTTCGAGTCATTCCGGTAAAACATCACGTGTTGGAGAAGGGTTCATTCCATCCTTCAAATAACACAGAATTTATAAAACCCCTTTCAGAAAAGTATACTTCATATCATTTGAAACATCATTGCAGTTAAGTTTGTAGTTAATAAATGTAGAACGAATTGAAAACTTAGAGTGAAAAGTAAAACTGGGGAAATGCCGCTTGTAGTATACCAGAAGGAACAGTACGAGTTGTAGGTTGCTTGCTGTGAAATTACTGCATGAAACTGCAAAAACGATTGAACTAACACACCTTTAATAACCAGATTGATCAATACTGATCGATCAAGACTAGCAAGGCATGTTTTTAATCTGAGAACACCACTCTGAAGGTCATAAACTTTCTGCTTAACGATGAAACTATTTAATGAGTAAGAGAAACAACGGCCTAACTATGGAGCGGGAAGAACAACATGCATACTGACAAATGTTTGCTTAGGCGGGTTCCGTGAAACCTCAAAGTACCAAGTACCTCTCAAAACATTTGGACGTGACTGGTGAGCGGGCACTGGGGCGATACTTCCGGGGAGTTATCTAGACCGGTTCTCAAATGTCAAGACTTATTCCTTATTGTTAATTGAACTGAAATCTTATACGTACAATACTTGAGTTGCACGAGTGATAGTTCCCTAGGATCAGTTGTTCGGAGGGCCCCGATGGGTTCAATCATTGGGTGTGGCATAGAGCTGTTGAAGGCAGGCAGAGCTCTGAACTGTTAAACTAAGCGGAACTCATAATTAAATCTTTCTACATCGATTGTTTCATTCTGGTGGTTATTGGTGCTACACTGCAGACACTTTACAGCTCATTACATGCTACGACGAATGGAGTACTCCAGAGTGGTATCTATCTAGACCCTATTCAGACATTTAGTTTCCGATGTGATCAATCTAATAATCCTTTTGATTTGTCTCAGATTTTAGGTCTGTTCTTCCCCCAGTGCAACTGTTTGGACGATGGGGATGAGCATTCCTCTGCATAGATAACGATAAGTTCAATAACAATAATTACGGCATGAACTCAGATATTCATCAGAGTATTAGTACAGGGGTTCACATAAGGGTTCCAAAAGCACGGAAATACGCTTGTGACTTTCAGTGATTTCATTCTTATTAAGTTCTCCTATAAACAATTTCTTCGGTTGATTGTCCTGCATGGTCATCTAAACATCGCATTCAGAGCCAAAAGAATACAGTATTAGGAATATGAACTGCCATTCACCGGTATTACTGAGATTGGCCAGCAGTATATCTTCTTTCCTAACGTGGTGACCCAAGTCTGTACGTGGTGCCATATGAACAACTTAAATCATAGCTTTATCCCACGAAAATGGTTCTCACTCATTCGCTCTCGCTCTCTAGTGTTCATCCACGTTGACTTTGCACAAGAGGAGATATTGGAAAACAAATTCGTGTGATTTTAAATGTTATAAATAAAATGCACAAATCACACACGATCTCCGTATTCGATTTTGCAGTGTGCTCGCACTCCGAAATACTCCAGTGTGGACTCAAGGGTTAAGCGACGCGAACGCGCAATCACTCAGGTCACCTGGCCGACAGATCACGCTTGTCGTGTCGAACACGAGGGCCAGAAGTTGGCAAAATACACGCGAAATGCATGTTTTCCATTGTGACCGTGGACCGAAAACTGTTTGCGATCTGCCGTGGTCTACCCTACTCTACTCCGCTCTGCTCTACTCATCTCCCCCCCCCCCCCACTTTGGTCCAGCTGCCTCCAGGCTGACCTCCGGAACACGCGCGTGTTTGGTTCACGTGACAAACGTCGGCTCATGCAACGCATGTAACGCGCGACCGATGGGCCATGCGCACGAACGAGCGCTAGCACACGCATGCACGCACGCACGCACTCATAAACCGATTCATATAGTTGTTTGATCGTGTGCACACACGCACGCGCGCGCATGATGGCCAGACATGATGAACGAGCACGCCGTATCGGACAGGAAAGTCGTGCGTTTATGCAACTCACGCAGCCTCTGGTTGCAAGTTATCAATAGTATCATGATGATTAGAGCAGTTAACAGGGGAACGGAATTCATTTTACGGTGCCACAAAGCGAGTGGTATCCGACTCTGAATTATGTTGGTTAACCATCACTTTTCAGATTTTATCTTGTATTTTGCTCCATTTGATGATACTTTTTTCACTAAAGTGGAAACAGTCCTTCAAAGCGAGAAGTCAAGAGAGGCAGTTGTGGTGGGATTCAAACACATGTCCTCCCGAATAAATTGAAAACCTTTACTACTTCACCACTAGCATTCAGTTTATGGTCTACAAAAGACCAAGCAATGTTCATTAAGGAAAGCCTGGATGGTGCAAGCCAGATATCCATCGCTTCAAGAGATCCTGATTTACTGGTCCGCATTACTTTCTTGCTGGGCCTAAACGCTTTAGGAGGACACAAATTTGTAGATATTCCATTTAGCACATCGTATCCTGTTTTATTACGCAATAATGGATATGACGTCTGAATGATGCTCATCACAGTGTTTTAAACGGGTTGAGCAAAAAGCTTCCGGATGCACAAAGCGTTCCACTTGTTACACAAACATAAGCACTACATTTTCTCCAAGTATTCTCCACCAGTATTCATGCACAGTTTCATACACTGAAACCATTTGATGAAACAGCTCAACCACATGCCGAAGCGGGTAACCCTTTTACTAGTTCAGTAAAAGCCTCTAATGCAGCTGTTGATGACTCGTATCTGATTTCACGCTTCATGCACGTGACATATGGGGTCAAAAAAAGTCACATAGAGCTAGGTCTGGACTGAAAAATGGGTAAACAACCTCCTGGATGCATTCTCTACCCAAAAAATTGCCGACGACATGGGACCTGTGTGTAATTGCATTGTCATTTTGTGGCAGGTTCCCTCGTGTTCATGTCCTTGAAAAACACCTGACAACAGCTTTCAGTACTTTCGGCAGACAGAGGGTGACGTAGTCAAGTCAAAAAAGCCTTATGCACCCGGAGGGTGGATTTTCAGCAATTTACGATTTTTTGCAGTGGATAGATAAAACCAATTCCAAAAAAGACCATATAAGAAATTATACACCTTAGTAAATGAGAGAAAAATTAGTGCAAGCGTTTTTCCCTGAGGTGGGTGGGAATATTCTGACGAATAACCACTGATGGGGCTGGTTATGGAGTTGCCCTATTTCGATATGTGGAAGTACGCACAGGAAAGAGTTGATATTTGCAGTGAGTTCGGGGATTCGACAGGGCTTTCGCGATATATTGGTGCAGACAGTACCCTTGATCACATATTATCCCATCAATGAATGTATCACAAACGTCAGGATGCTCGGAAATAAAGAAATTAACTAAAATAACTAGATCAACTCCAGTGTGGCGAGACAAAAGTTTAAGGGATCTGGAAGTATTTTTCTTTCAGTCCAGGGATAAAAATCGAGGAACAGTTTAGCCAGTGTGGAAAAATGCAGGCAATCACAAATTTAAAATAAGATTATGTGGTACGTCCAGGTTCCTGAGCCTGTTAGCATAAACAGATATTTTTCGAACTTTTGTGGAAATGTTGATGACATGAGCAGACCAGGACAGGTTATGGTTAGGGTTACACCAAGGTATTTAACAGATACAGATTTGCGAATGCTTTGATTGTTAATTCTGAGATAAAGGAGATTATTAACTAATAAAAAATAATGGGGGCCGGTTTTAAGACTAAATGGAAATTCGGGTCATAGACCAATCGTGAAGTTCACTTAGACTGTCCTGGAGAAATGGAAAACTGGGGTTGGGGGAGGGGGTTACAGGATTGCAATCACTTGTCTAAGCAGATTACGTAACACAGTTATTCAGTCCTCGTTTGATCTTCTGAACAAAGGTCAAATACATCATATTGTAGCAAAGGGGTTTATTTTATAAATCATGACTCTTGTTGCCACCTTGTGATCATATACTTATGTGGAAGCTTGAGAATGATCAATCGAAAAGATCGAAAACCATCTGAAATAGGGACTGTCAACCAATGACAATATCAGCAGTATACTTACAGGCAATAAAGTTGCTGGGAATGGGGAGATTTTGAACCTACATAGAAAACAAGAAAGAAGACAGAATGGCACTCTGAAGACCTCCGGCTTCAATGTGATTAAAAGAAGACTGTACACCATTGAGTGGAGTGAACTGAGTCCTTCGGGAGATTAGTCGACTAGTACGCTCAAGGCTTCAGGAGTGAGACCACACTCAGAAAGACGTTCAATAAGCAGTCTTCAGTCGAGAGAACAAAAACGTTTGTATAATCGAGAAACGTTAACCGAGGGGTACTAGCGTCATTGTCTAAGACGGAAGCAACAGAATGAACAATATGAGCAACGGCGTCACGTGTGGATAAATGGGGTTTATAAGCTAATTGTAAAGGGTCATGGGACTTACAATGAGGTTTCATGCGCCGCAGCAAAACGTTTTCAAAGATCTTCAGTAACACACATGACGATCCTTTCTTTGGGGCTGGTCTAATCCGGGCT